TGCCCTAGCTGGTTTGGCTCAGTGGATAGAAAGTCAGCCTGAGGACTGAAGGGTCCCAGGTTCAATTCCGGTCAAGGGCACATGCTGGGTTTGCAGGCTGATCCCCAGTAAGGGGAGTACAGGAGGCAGCTGATCAATGGTTCTCTCTCATCATTGATGTTTCAATCTCTCTTTCACTCTCCCTTCCTCTCTGAAATCAATAATAAATGAATTAATTAATGAATGAAAACTGCAGGGCTCTGTTTGGCTTGCCAGCTCTTCAGTGTTGCTTGGAAATTCTCTCCAGGTAGTAAGCTGAAGCAACCACATGAATCACTGTCCTGCTCTGCTGGTTGCTCAATGTCTAAAAACCAGCTTCATATACTTTGATTTTGTTTTTAGTTGTTTAAGGTTGAACGATATATCCAGTTCTTGTTACTCCATCATGGCCAGAACAGCCTTTGATTTCATTCTATCTGACTGTAATACTCACCACTCCTGGCTGCAATTGTCTACAGACCACCACATACCTGCCTCCAGGTCATTCACCTTCACTACTTGAAAATGAATTGGCTCATTATTCCTCCTTAGGACACCACTTCTTTCATAAGTCTGGTGATTTCTTGTGCAGATGCTTTCAATATCCTGCCTTCTCAGTCTCCTGACTTCTTATTCCACAATCATGTCCTCTACCCCAGCTTAGTCCTCCTCTCTGTCGGTTACACTCTGACCTTAAGTTTGCCATATTGTATCCATGACACAATTGCAATTTCCCTCATGGATCAACTCCAGCCACACAGGCCTCATTGCTCTTGGATATACCAAACTTGTTTGCTCTTGGATATGCTAGACCTTTGTATTTTCCCTAAACAGTCTTATCCAGACAAGTCAAGCTTCCTTTTAACCTCGGGTCTCTCCTCAAACACACGCATCAGTAAGGCCTTCCCTGACACTCTATACAGAGTATTATTCAATCACACCCCCTTTCTCCCTTGCCTTGCTTTATTTTCCAAAGCACTATTCGCCATTTGACATAGTAAATATTTAATTTTATTGTTGTACTAGTGACCCAGCGCGCGAAATCGTGTGAGACCCGGGACCCCAGACCCTGCGGCGCCACAGGACCCAGAGTCAAGTCCCCTCCCACCCGCACGCGCCTTGCTGCGCATGCAGCCTCCTGGTGACCAGTCTCTGGTCGTTACAGCGTTAGGGCCACTGGGGTTTTATAATATAGATGATGCCTGGGTCTTCTAACTAGAATGCAGACTTTGTGAGGGCTTTCTCCCCAGTGCTTAGCACACATGTAGGTGCTCTCTCTTCTTAAACCTTTCTTCATTTGACTTCTAGGGCACACTAGCTTTTGGCTCTCCTATTATCTCACTAGCTAGTCCTTTTCATCTCCTTGCTGGAAAATGAAAAGGGGTGAAGGAGTACAAAACTAACCTGAGGAAGAGAAACAGTCTTCTACACTAAGCTGGCTGTGACCCATGGCAGCAGGAAGGCCAGATAACTCCCTCTACCTTCTAGGAAGAAAGATACTGTAGAACCCAACAACAGCACGAACTCACTTTCAATGTGTGTAGATAGACTATCTGCAGCAGGACAACCAACATATAAACGTTTATTAGCCTTCTTCTACTGAAAAGGAAAACCACTTCCTAAAAGAGAGAATTTTTAAATCTATTTTTATTGCTTCAACCAACTGAAAACATAAAATTGAATTCACTACATATTCATGGGAAATCTGAAACAACTCTTAAAGTAACATGTTTTATGAAGCAAATAGGTAGTCCCTAATTTATCTGGCCAGAGATAGCAGATAGAATTATAATCATAAGGGTGAAAATTAACATTTCTCCACCATAAAAACAAGGTTGGCTAAATTCAGTGAACAATATTGAAAATTGCTCCTGATAAAAAGAAACAACAAAAAGAGCTTTCCCTCTAAAGTTAGCCAACCTTGTAAGAAATGACTGAGGAATTGTCACAGATTGGAGGAGGTTAAGGAGAAATAACAACTAAATACAATTTGGGACCCTCCACTGAAACCCTGGAATGGGGGGAGGGGAAAAGACAGTGGAAAAACTAGTGAAATCTAAATAAAGTCTATAATTTAGTTTAAAAGCAAACAAAGCAAACAAAACAAACAAAACGAAACGAAAAGAAAAGACCTCTGCCTGGCTCTTGTGCTTCAGTGGTTGAGCATCGACCTATGAACCAGGAAGTCAGAGTTTGATTCCTGGTCAGGGCACATGCCTGGGTTGCAGGCTCAATCCCCAGTGTGGGGTCATGCAGGAAGCAGCGGATCAATGATTATCTCTCATCATTGATGTTTCCATCTCTCTCTCCCTCTCCCTTCCTCTCTGAAATCAATAAAAAAAAATTTTTAAAAAGAAAACCTCCATTCAGTACAAAAACCCTATCTCAACATCTTCTGCCTAAGTACCTGCTCTACCTGGAGGTTACACGCCAACCAAGACACACCTTCCAGGGTTGGGCACCTTTCATTGTTAGAAGGTTTTTCCTTGTGTGGCTTCTCCCTTTGTAACTTCACTCAGTTTAGTTCTTCCTTCTAGACCCACGCACATTAAGTCTAATTCCTCTTTCACTTGATCTCCACATATTTTATATTCTGCCTCAAGTTTCTTTTTGAAGCCTGACACACCCAGTTCCCTTCATGTTACACATTATGATTTTTACATCCTTGATTATCCTTGCCACACAACTTCTAAGGTACGCCAGCTTGTCAACAGCCTTCTTAAAATTAGTGTTCAGAACTGAACATTGGAGTAGAGCCTATCCAATTTTTTTCTCTTCTTGTTTTTGACACTATGCTCCTCTGCCTACAATCGCCTGCCCTTTTTCAGCAGCTCTATCACATCTTTCGTGAATCATTTACTTGTACTTGTGTGGTAAAAATCAATGCCTTATCATTCAATCCTATGACCTTTCCTTCCTCCTCAAAGAATCATACTGGCAAGTGGTAAAGAGAGATATCTGACCAGAGTATTCTTCTGTGAAGAGAGAGACTCGATTATCTGCAAGTTTTATCTGAGAATTAAAAATCTCAACTGACACAGCCACCTAGTCCATTCACACACTTTACAGCTGCGGTGCATCAGTTCCCAGAAAGCAGGGTCAGATCCGGAGTTTCCCAACAGTTCTTCCTGGGCTGGAGTCATCTATTAGGCAAAGCCAGCTCATTACTTCCTTAAATCTGGGCATCACCTATTTTCTGACCTTTCACCCTCAACATCCCCAAGTTCCCATGAAGTCAAAGCATCAGTCATTTTTGTGAGGGGTAAAAAAACATACGCAGCACGTGCACGGGAATGCTCTGAGGTCCGAAATATGCAAAAACGTGAACGTTCGGAGAACGCTTTATCTCTGCTGTTGCATAATGAGCCTTGATGAAAAAAAAACAACACAATAATAATAGCTGCAAAGATGCTTTCCCGTAGCTGCTGCTTTGGGCCCAGAGGGTTCCTAGACAGGAATGGGATGCCAGCGACACTCCCGTCACCTCTGACAACCTCCAAGACGAAACCGAGAAGGAGGCCCCCCCGGGAGTGCCAGCGCGGGCGGGTGTTCCCCGGGGCCCCTCACCTCTCTTGTCCAGGAGCCACATGAACGCGAAGCAGGGCAGGAAGCCGATGGGCCCCCACAGCACGAGCAGCGCGATGTCCCAGCTGGAGAAGCCGTAGGCCTGGCACGCCGAGTTCTGGATGGGGCCCCAGGTGTTCCAGACCAGGCCCTGCGCGAACC